TGCGAGTTAATTATGTAAAAGGTCCGCTTTTATATACTTAGACTTTAAGGAATTGCCACATATCACCTGAGAGAGAAAGCAGGGAGCCATTTTGCTCACGTTGCTCCGAATCGAATTAAGTCGTGTACGCGGCAAAACAATGATTACATATCCGGAATAAAGAGGATGAAGTTTCCATATATTCTCGAACGATGCTAATGACCGTCTGTATCAGCCAGAATTAATTACGCTATCCCAGTCGTTATCTTTTACATCTTGTTTACTTGCTAATTGCGGGAGTTAGCCGAGATCATTATTTATAAACGATACTGGATTTCTCTAATATATCTCTAGCGTAGGAAAATTAATTTAAACTTCACGAGAAAACGGGAATTATCGATATCTTTTAAAAATTTTGATATATGTTTCATTCTTTCGTGACAGGTGTTAATTTCTAACATTTAATATTTCTTTTATAACGGCATTGCTTAGGAAATTACTATGGCAGAAACTGTAGATGAAAAATGTAAGAAAAAAGAATTATGAAAGCTTATAAGAGTATAATTCAAGATTAATGACAAGTGATGGACATAAATCTCATATCGTTAATATAAGAGGCAATCTTTTTTGCACCGTGAAAAACCCTTCGTCCTTCATTCGAATAAACTGAATGACGCCACTGGATGACGTGTCCAAATAAATGTTCCAATCTATCATTAAAAACTATGACAGAGACAAAACTGTAGACAACTTTCATTTTCAATACACGTTTCAGAAACCTGTTAAGAAAAAGAATTAATCGTGTCTCATCATTCAATCTTCTTCAAAGTGTGAAAATCATAATGGAATCACTGAAAATCAAATTTATTAAAAATGATACAAATGTTCCATTGTATAACTTCCTTTTTTTCATCAAATTAAAAAAAAATGTCTTGAAAAAAAGCTAATAAGGACTAAATTTCATACATGCATTAAACCGTGAAAAACTAATTAAAGTCGAAAAATAGAAAATCCTCACAATTTCTCGAAGTGACAATTTTTTCGAAGGATCTATACATTTTTTTTAAATCACAACATCTCAGATATATTAATTTATATTACACACGATTATATAGTGTTTTTAAATCCAGTATTTATGGGAATGGCTAGATTATGATTCCCTGAAAGATAAAAAAAAGATTCAATATACATGAAATTGCAGAACTGTGTGTTCTCGAGGACGTTAAGGCCGCAATCAACGAAATTGCGCCGCTGTAAAAATAACGTAAAAAAGATACGAAATCTCCATAATGCCGAACATTTCGGCCATTGCGAGCTAATTGGCTAACGCGTCGGTCCTATCGACGGCAGTAGTCCCTTGGCTTTGAGACGTAATAGGATTGCTCAGACCGGCTATTATCGAGCCGCGTTATCCTGTTGTAGGATACCGGCGCATCCCGTAAATCTCCATATGCGATAATCCCACAGGCGAACACGTCGAGTAGCCAACTTACAGCACACGAGAGAGAAAGGGCCTTCTCACGGTCGAGAAGTGTCGCGCCGGGAGACCGCTTATCTTACACAGGCTCGAAAACAAATGTACATGGACTCGCTTGATACTAAATCAGTGACTGCGGTATTATAAGAGTTTAATACTTGCGAAACGAGAGAACGAAGCGGCGAAAAATTATTGAAAAGATCTGAAGTGTAGAGAAACCTTTCTGCGATGTGCGGCGCCGACAAATGGCCTTCAAAGAAATGATTAAATAATCGTAAGGAAAGAAATAAGAATAAATATGATGTAAAGTTGTCAGATGTAAGTTAGAGAAGAATTAGTATACATCATAAAAATATTATTATAAAAAATTAAAATATATAAGTTTTATACTTTATAAATCTAAAAGTGTCATAATAAAAAAATTACTGGAATTTTCTAAGACAAAAAAGAAATAAATACTTTAATTCTTGCATTATCAATAGGCTATATGTTTTGAAAGAAAAGAAACAAAAAGTAATAAATATTTTTAATTTATTCAAGAATGAAATCTTGATATACTAAAATAATTGGTCGCGTTAACAATCATCTCGCTGTGCAAAGAAAATGCATAATTGAGGCCATTTTGCGAGAATATTGATTCTAAGCGTCTCTCAGAGTTCATGACTCTTAACGAAGAATCATGGATTCTCGCAAATTCATTCCACGTATCTCCCATAAGACAGAACTCACGAGTCAAGGGCTTTGAGACCTATGACCCTTCGGGAGAGATTCGAAGTCACGGTACCGCGGTCCTTGATACATGGTCCTTGAGAGGATACGCTGTCCCTCCTGGCGATGCAACGGAGGTCGATGTTACCCTTCGTCGAGTGTGTACTCTCGTGATGGAGGCAGACGCGATATGGTAGTATCGTGGGCATAGTGTGTTCTCGGCCGAGACAACAGACCACCAACCGGGCATCTCGGAACGATGAACCGGATGTACCTATTCCCGCGGGAACGTCCACTGCCACGACTTGCAAAACTCTGTGGTTCAAAGTTCAACGTTTCTCGATTTTTTCCTGACCTGCATGAGTTGAAAAAACAGCAGGAATCAATGAGTCTTTCAATATTACAAACACGGTTGGCATTCACGGTTGTTATAATATTCTTATTATAAGAATGTTATTTTTATGAAAAAATTCTTCTCACACATAAAAATAAATAATATATATTTTGAATAAAAAATATCTACGATAATGGAATGTATCTACTGGCAAATTATTTTTCAATTATGTTGATTTCTTTCATATAAAACTGATTTACAGCATCTCTTACCAATATGATTTATTCTTAATTGCGTTGACTTAATCTTATTTAATCAAAATCTTACATATTAATTCAAATATTTAAACTTTATAGTCTATTTAATTCTATTTTTTTACAAACATTCTTTGACTTAAATTGTCTGTTTTTCAAAATTTAATTTCGTTGATTTTTATTATAATATATTTTTATTAAGAGGATTTTCATTTTTGTTTATTCTTTAAATAAATAATTTATGATTTTGAATTCGATGATTTTTTCGTGAAGATGTAAAATTTAAATTACATAAAAAAATATTATGTAAATCGAAAAGTCTCTTCATAAGTTTTACGTTACATATTAACATTAATGATAAAATAAAATTTATTCATTCCTCGTTTATCGCAGAAGTAACCGCTTCTCACAAATCTCATAAACCACGTGAGAAAATGCAGAAAGGTAAATCATGAGCAAACGACTCTTTAACCAAAAAGAGACATCCTGTTTATAGTCGATTTTCTGTATATGAGAGCCTGGCTGGTGGTCCGGTCTAGGACATACCGCACTCGTAAGAGTAGAGACTTCGGTATGCATCGGTCGATGAGGCCCTCGTCGTAGACTGGGGGTCCGGCATTGACCTTCCTGCGCCGACCGATGAGAGGGGCCGTAGGTGCTGTCTTTTCAAGGACCATCGAGTATCGTCGTCGTGTGCAGTACCGACGCTGGAAGCCCATTAAGGCATCCCGAGACATCCCGTCCCGACCATCGTCGCAAATCATAGGTTTAATGGAACGATAAATTTGTATTCATGCCGCGTGCCGATCCACCCCCGTGAAACCCCGCTCTCGCCACCAAACTGTATCCGTGTGCCACGGATGTTGTGAAAAAGAGGAGCGAAAGAGAGAAAGATTGTACCGTGGCGCAATAAGAGGACCTTGCGACGAGATGGTGCGCACACCATGGAATCCGAATAATTGATAGGTGCCAGCGTTTCTTGCCAGCACCTCCATCGCGGATGCTGTCGAATACAGCGTAAAAGAAAAACTAGGAGCTACAAACTAATATAAATACGTGAGGAATAAAAGAAGAAACAAGTAGGAGATGCCCTCATCGAGACAAATGCTTTCTCTCTTTTTCTCCTTTTTATATAATATATAATAATTTACGCAACTTTTCTAAGTAAATCTTTCATATTAAAGTTTTATTATCTTACAATCCTCAATAGTAGAATAATCATATGCTTATAAAAATTAAAATAAAACTGCCTAAATATTTATTAATATCATATAACTACATTTTATAATTTTAAATATATGTATATATATTTTTTGAATATTTTTATGTTAAATATTTTTATGATATAAATATTTTTTGTGTAAAAATGGTATAAAAATATTTATTAATATAATCAATTTGCTTTTCTCGATTTGCCCTATATATACATTATTTATTTAAAATTTAATTCTCATCAGTTATTAGCATTTTCATCATGACGATCGTTTTCTAATTATAAATACAATAAAAAAAATTATAAAAAGCTAATTATATGAATATATGCTCGATATGAAAATTATTCAATATATTACAAAAGAATTTAGAAGTTTTTATGGCTTCAATTTTTTTTTATAAACATTTATAATATGAAACAACGGATTATGCGCAGAAGTAACGGTGAAATTATAATTTTCCATCATCATGAATTATAAATATTCATATCCAAGAAATTATTCGCAACGTTGTCTTGTGAGACCTATGCCCTTCGTCGTTAGGTAAATTGCTTTGCTTGTTCGCGCATGTGAGAAAATGGAATACGTATAATATTTTCATATTAAGGAGATGATAGTTGCTCTTTCTTTCTTTATCTTTCTTCCAAGCTATAATAAAAAAAAAATAGTTAATCAAACTTGTAACACCTTGGAGAACGCCAAAACTTATCATGTTGATTATCGGATTCATTGAATTTCGCAAATTTTATTGATAATTTTAAATAGTTATTTGCACTATGTATGTATATATATATATATATATATATATATATATATATATATAATATAAGAAAGCATAAAAATAAGCACAAACAAAATAAACACAACGACATATAAAAAATGTTAAATACAAATTGAAAATTCACAAATCTAAAGTATTAAATACATATATCTCTATACACATCTCTCTCTCTCTCTCTCTCTCTCTATATATATATATATATATATATATATATATATATACATATATTATACAGCATATATTTTTATACATATAGATGGCCAGTATAGAAGTGTCCCTATCGACAACTCCGAGACGGAAAAAAGGCGGCAGTGTTTCCGGAGGCGTTACCTCTCCTGCTCATCGGAATAGAGATCATTATAAAGAATTGGACGCTCTCCGAGTCGCTCTGCGCGACAAAGAAAACATAATACAGACGTGAGTAATTGCTTGATTACACATCCTTGAGATACGCGGTCGGCATTGAGAGAGAAAGACGGTAAATCGGCAGTATATCAATTGATCACGTCCTAGTCCTTTATTATAATGATTGCACACACAAATAATAAATAGGCAACGAGTAGACTTAATATCTTGAAAGAGAAACGTAAGAGCCGGATTTTTCTAAATGACCATTGTAAATTTAAAAAAAAATTTTTTTAGAGATAGTAAATCTTTCGGAATTGATTTGTTGGAGTGATTTCTTCATAGAATCTTCAGAGATCGTTAGTATATCGTGTGTATTAAAAAAGAATTATAAAAGAATTACAATGAAAAACATTATATATTTTGTTAATGTTTTTCTTATTAAGACTTTTTTCAATTTCTCGTTTTCTACAAATTATTTCATATCGTTCGATAATGAGAGACGATTTCTCATTTTTTTCTGAATTATTAACTACAATATAATATTAACTGTAATATTAACTATAAATTTTTTTAAAAGAAAATTTTATTCGAAAATTTAATAGCAAAAACTGTTATTAAAACATAAAATATGATATAAGCAAATATTCTATATAATATATAATACATAATGATAAAAAGATGAAAAGCCTTATGCTCTATTTTTTAAGCTAAAGCTTTATATAATCTTTTATATATAAGCTTTATATAATCTTTATATAATTGTTAAAAAAAATATAAACTTTCTTGCAAATCTACCAAGGTAAAAAATTTCATTAAAGATCTATCGAAATCTCAATAAACATTTCTAAAGATCAAAGTACAGACAATAGAGAGCACAAGTATTTTTTTTCCTTGTCATAATACAACGTTCGTGCCTTTTGTTATTTTTCAGGCTCAAGGGCCAGCTCTGCAACACGCTGAGCAATAGACTGGCATTACGCAATGGCGCGCCACCCTTGACCGAGGCCGACAGGAAAGCGGCCGAGGAACGGCTTCAAAGGTTACGACGGGACGCCGACAATAAGCGACTGGCTATTAAGAACCTGAAGCTGGCGCTCGAACGCCTCGACATTACAGAGTAAGGATGAAATCAAGATTTCAGTTCACTCGTTTTATTATCGTAAATTACGATTACCGATATCACGGTGTGCAAATGTCTGCTAATACATGACAATATAGACAAAACTATATACTATATTGTATACGATAATACAGATAAAATCAATTTATCCATTTAATGATGGTAATATATTTTAATGGGATTTTACTATATTGTATAAAACACTAGTAATTTATTCGATTATAGTGTAAATCATTGATTAATCAATATGAATAATTTAACCAAGCATTTTCAGCATAAAATGCGATTATTAATTTATTAAATTTACATATATCTGTAATTATATACATATTAATTATTTAATTATAATATACATCATTAAATATCTCAAGGGATTGAAAATAAACCGTGATAAGATAGAAAGTAAAGAAAAAGGCAAATATAGGCGAATTATTCTAAATGAAATAATTAAGTTTGATATTAATATTATATTGAATTATATATACATATATAATTTTTGAATTATATATATATATATATATAATTTTTACAATAAGTTCAAGTTACGATTGTTAAATGAAAATAATAATTTATGCACATATATGCGAAAATTCAAAGTTACTAACATTTACATATGAATAAGTGAAAAAAATTTTAAAATAATAGAACTTACTGAATTACATTTTATTTGTGAAACAAAATTTTTCATCGACATAAAGAAATAAATATTTTTCAAAATTATATAATACAGTCTTACAATTAGAATTGTATCTAAAGAAGTACTTTCACAATCCCATATGGTCTAGTGGCTAGGATACCTGGCTTTCACCCAGGAGGCTCGGGTTCGATTCCCGGTATGGGAAGTTTTTTTTTATTTTTGAAGAAAAAGGAAATTATTTATTTATTTCCTAATTATTATTAATGAAACAATTATTTTTAAACAAAAAAAAATATTTTTTAATTTAAATTTATTTTAATATAATGTATACAATTTTTGCAGTAATATTGATGTCCGAATACAACAAGCGGAATTGGAGTATAGACTAGGTCGCGAGGAACTCGAGTTGCTGACTCTTCACGAGGAAAGCAGAGCCCTTCAAACTGCTTTAGAATTGGCTGAAACTCAAGAAAAGCAAAAGAACGATACAATATTCAGGTATATATTTTCTATATTTTTATTGTTAATTAATATTTTCTTAATGCTGTGCAATTTTTGGCGTAAATTCAACAGAACAATAAGAAATGTTTATCTATTTATTCTCGAAAACAAACAAGAATTTATTAATATTATAAGAAGATAAAAATATTTTTTAGCATATCAATTTATTTATTTCAAATTCTTTTTCTTAATTTAAAACTAATTTTTCTGAAAAAATGTATTAAAATCGTCTATCTTTTACTTGTATTATCTGTCTATCTTTAGCTTTTATTTAAAGTAATTTTTTAGATTAAAACTAGAAAATAAGATTACTAAAAAATAAGATTGCATTATTTCTTACATTTTTCACATAATAAGAAATTTAAATTTACATCAATCACTTTACTTTCAGCTGCATTTCCGGCTCGACGCAAGTTACGATTCACGCGATAGAAGTCAGCGCAGATCCGAAAAGTCCACGTTTTGGAGCCGGACCAAGAGACGACGCGATTGGTCTCTACGTCGACTGGGCTGTAGAGGATTCTGGGCTTTGTAAAGGAGACAGGTTTGTATTGTTGTACCGGAATTCGCGAGTCATCAAATATTCACGTTCGTCCGATATATAAAGTGATGTAAAATTCGTACGAATTTTTTATTCCTCGTACACGCATTCAACTCACGTAATAAGGATATTCTTTCCACAATTGTCCATTTATCTTATCCTGTTTATTGCATTATAAATAACACATATACATTCCAATCGAATTTCATGGGTATATATATTTTGATATAGATAAAGAAATGATCTATTTTATTCTTATTTCTAATAATTTATTTATTTAATTTTTTATTATAAATAATAAATAATTTTGAATATCTCATTTTAATTCTTAATTTATTTGGTGTAATTTATTAAAAAATCTCTTAACACTTCTATTTTAAGCAATCTAAATAACAATGTTTAAAATACATTTGGTGCTATAAAATAATTCGATAAAAATCATCTTTTTCAGCAACATTATTTAATTTCATATACAGTTTGAAGAATTCTTAAGAGAAATTAATTTTCCAACAGAAATATTCCAAGGCATTTTTGTTTATAGTTATATATAATATATAATACATATATACCTATACAAATATAATATATAATAAATTTTCTATATACTAAAGAATAGCAAAATATTATTTCGGTAGACTAATTAATAATAAAAGCAAAGTTAAAATTTTTAAAATTTTTAAAAGGAAATGACATTTAATTTTTGAGAAAAATCATCTCTTCTATATATCAGAATATGCATGCTTCTGAAATTTAATTTAAAAGTTACAAAATCAATTCATGTAACAGCATCTCCAATAAAACTTTTCAAACATATAAAACGGTGAGCGAAACTGTAAATCGAACGTCAACGGTTTCATTTTATTGTTCTCTTCCTCAGGAAGATTACGACAATGCGAATGGGATACTTTTCTGCGCTCCTGTGAAAGGATGACGGTGGTAACTGCGGGAGCGAAGTAACCATTCCATTCCGCTCTTTAATCACCATCTAACAGAAGCAAAAAAAGCCGCATTTCTGTCGACATCCGTCGTAACAATTAATGTGTCGCTCTCAAAGTTCATGCTTCAGAACAGCACATTGTTTCCCGATGAAGCTGCCACCGTCAATTTCGCAATACATTACAATTTGGAATTCTTAATTTGCAAATTTGTAAATTAAACTAAAAATAGTTTTTACCATTTTAATATTTCCTGTAGAAATTATACCCATGTATAGCAAATTGATTCAAAGTTTAAACGGTGGAATTACCTTTGGAAATCGGAATTCAAGGAATTCTATTAATTCGAACACAATTCTCTGTCGGTTCCGGAACGATGCAGAAAAGGTGTCGGAGGAATCATAGTGTGATTGTGTGCAACGGTGGTAGCTATGTAACGTGCGCGGCTATCGGGGAAGAACAATGGGGCAATCTTGACATTTGGTTCCCAACGGGTCGCTGTAGCGTGAAGCGGCACCGGAAGTTCGCCATGTGCCCTCGTTAATTGTACCCGCGACTTCACATGACCCCACCTTCCACTATTTTACTCAGTATATTCACTCAAGAAGATTCACTATAGGCCAGGGTGTTTCAGGCTTGCTTACGTAGATCTTTTAAAAATACACATGGACATTAATAGATTATTGAACGTTTTGGTTCAAAGCGTTTGATTCGAGAGACAATTGATTTTCGAATTAATTAAAAATTTCATTAAAGTCGATTCAAAATTTTAAATATAAAATAATATTTTATTTTTGATTATTTATTTCCATCCGTAAAATTCGTTAAAAATTTTTTTATTTTTGATCGTTAACATAATTTAAAAGCTATAAATAATTTAATATTTTTCATAAATAATAAACAAATTTGAATTTAAAAAAACGCTTACAAAATATAAAATTTCATTTAAAGAATACATTGTATTTTCTAAAATTTTCTTAATTGATATTATAAAATTGCTTGGAGTTTTTGTAGTGTTTAAACTTCGTGCTGTTTCTCACGAAATAACTAAAGATAATACGCATTGCCTACTTTCCTCAACATATTTTTTTTTCAGTTCCCACACATTATAATTCGCCATGCGTCATTAAGCTCAGTTCCGCGTATAATTTCGCTTTATAATTTGATCATATAGAATGTAAAATTATAATAAGATATCACTCAATATTGCAATCGTCCGAGCTCTATTCCGAGAAAAAATATACCGCAATCAATTATTAATTATTTATATATACATATAATACATATATATTAAAAAGAGAGAGAAGAGGAACGAAATACGTATTTTTCATTAAGATCTTTTTTAATATCAAAGAAAATCATCCAATTAAATGAAGAATTACAATCACTTTGCAATGGTACATATTTTTTAGAATCTTGGAAGTAAATGGAAAACTGGTGGTAGGAGCGGGTAGAAGCGATTTGGCGCGGCTTTTGGCTGTTGCACCTGACGCTGCGCAAATAGTTGTCCTGCGAAAAGGCGAGTCCTTGGCAGCATTGCGTACGTTACGCTCGGATAATCTCAGATTGACGCATAGGATCGGCTATCTCGAGGAACAGGTCAGAGATCTCTTGGCGCCGAGCAGAACCGAAGTCCCTACCGAAGAACCGTCGCCAAATCGTCAAGAACATGTACAGGTAACTTGCTAGCGCATTTCAAATTGTTTTAGTAAAATAAATCAACATCGAAACATGGGATAAATATCCATATGAACTGGAATTTATTAAATTTTAATTTGCACTTTGATACTGATATCAAAGTTTTATTTTTGTACATTTATTATAAATAATTATTTTTATAGAAAAATTTTAAAAAATATCTCACAAAAAGGAAAATTTGATTAATATCACACTTAGTGAGAAAAAATAGATAACATTTAGAAAAAAATTATATTATCATTATAATTTATAATTAATCAATGTATGAAAAAATCTTTTTTTCCATATATATGTATATATGTTTCAATAAATTATAAATACTTTGACAAGCTTGATAAGAAAGTTAAAAAGATTAATAGTTAAATGAAGTTAAAAAGATTAATAAACTTTAAAGATTGATAAGTTTTTTCATAAAATGTTATGTTAGGAAAATCGCTTATTAATTGAAATAAACATTGAAATAGTATCAAATATAATAATTTCATAAATTAAAATTTTAATTTGCAGGTTTTCCAAAAAGGCCCTCAGGTGACGGCGTTGGTGGCGAATCTACCTGGTCTCAACGTGAGAAGTTGTACAGAACTACGACAGAGTTTGCCGACTGTCAGAAGCAAACACAATGATCATTCCAGACGTTCAACAGATTCTAGAAACCAGCGTGAACTCGATTTTTCATCCGATGGAGTTTCGACTGGGCATCACAAATCACGAAACAGGCAGAAACATGGATTACAGCTGGCCAGATCGACGGCCAGCCTCGATTGTAAGCAATCGCTGATACAGTCGCAGATGCAACGTCGAAGATCGCCGCGTGTCGAATCTACCATGGAACATTTGCATAAAAATCGCAAAAGCATCTCACAGTTGCAATCTCTAGAGTTTGATTCTGAACCGACTTATTATCGTTTACAGGTATTTCGCATCATGTATAATGATATATGTATAGATCTTGAAGAAAGAGAGAGAGTGCTTGATATAAAATTCGAATTTTTTCTTGAAATCCAAAAATTTTTCAAGTCATTTTACATATAAATAATTTAATCCTAATTCCTGAATGCTGATAATTGAATCTTGATCCATCTCTTTTCTATTGATTCATTCATTTGACAAAAGATTGATAAAGAGATGTTCAATATAAAAATGTAATATAAAATTATTTTATTTTTACTAGCTTATATGTATATTAGGTAGATGAAAAATTTTTTTTTGTTCATGACATTAAAAATATTATGTATGAAAAACGAAATTACTTTCTCATCAACCCATTAGATAACAGTATTTCTCTCTTTTACACACACACACACATTCAATTATTTAAATTCTATTCAACATCCATATAATTTATATATATATATATAATATTCTTTCTTTTAGGATTCCCAGTCTCGCGCATCAGAGAATTCGGAAGTATCGACGGCATATACTAGTTCTCAAGAGACGAAGACTCGTCCGGCACCGCCGAAGAAGCCGTTGCGACTTTCCCTGCATCGCGCGGCGAGTCTCCAATCCGTGGAAAGCGCGCCCCCAACCGCACTGCAGCACGATATGGCTCGAAAGCCCACAAAGAGAAACCATCGCGGCGATCCACCGGTAGAGAAGAACATATCTCGACATCTTGAGACGAACGGCGGTGATACGAATTCACACTTGCAAGAGTCTCTCGTTAATCCACCTCAACCGCCTCCGAGAACACCCTCCAGAGCGGAATCGTGTCAAAGCGCATTACGATGGCCTTCTCCAAAGCCGAGACCGCATTTGACATCCGTACCAATGGAAAAATGGTGCTAAGGATTACGAATCTGCATTTCTGTGACTAAAAGAGAATGAGGAAAGAAAGATAAGCGGAAATATTTTCTGAAACGAGAATTTTGAAAGCACATATCAAATTTATATATTAATTAATACAGTTATTTTTCTATCAATATAATAAAGATAATTTGCAAAGTAGATATCAATGATATGAATTAAAATACGCAAAGATATATCTAAGCTGAATCCTTGAAATGCCATTCCATAGCTTGGGAATTATTATATCACAAATTAGTAACATTATATTGAGATAGATTTATGTCTGTTTTATTAAACTTGATGACTACATTCTATTAATTTATAATCAAGAGTCTAAATGTACAGTGAAACGCGTTTGTATTATGATACATTATATCAAGAGCATATTGCGCTATATTGCGAGGATAAAATCTAAAATTGATATCTATAAAGAAAAGTTCTAGTTTATCTTTTTCACGAATGCTTTACATTTATTTTTTTCTAAATATTTATCTTATCCAAGAAAATACAAAAAGAACGTAAGACTGATAAATCACATACATTATTACAAACAGAACCCAATATTTGAACAAATCTAGCGGCAGATTGTATATCCATAAAGAGTGTATTTGAGATCTTCTTGAAAAGACTTATATTTTATATTTATATTTTAAATATAAAATAAATTTCAAATTTAAATATAAATTCAAAAAATCCAAAAAGTCTATTCCAAATCTCAGTCAGTCTTGATGATTGGTATAAATATAATGGTATAATTATTGGTAAATTTATTGATAAATAATACTATTTAATGCTCTTAAACATAAGATTGTAGATTTTTTTAATAGTAGATTTTTAAATTTAAGCGCCGAAATGCTTGTGATTGCTAAAATTTACTGCTGAATATATGTTTAGCAACCTAATACATGCATCACATATATACCAAGCTCACATATCACAATCATTACATATCATATATTTATAATCATGTGTTTATAATTCTTGTCATTCTGGTTTCAATAATTTAATTTAATTATTCGATTTTCCAAGAAAAGTATGCATACATAATATTTGTTAATATAATTCTGTGTATAAAAATAGCAAATAAATTGAATATTACAATTTTATAAGATTATTATTAAACGTTACAATAAGATTTATAATATAATTCTATGAATATATATTGTTCTAAATGTAAAAATGTACAAAATATTATAACCTTTAATTTTGAAATAGAAAAATCTTTGAATAAGATACATTTTTTCACAAATATCATGTATTTAAAAACAATTATCTTGTCTATCAACTGAATATTGATAATAAAAAAGATTAATTAATGCAATATGGAAATAAAATCTTATATAAAATGTTAAATGTTTTAAAATTAGAATACATATTTATGACCTTTACTTTTAGCATTGATTCTGTTACAAATTTAGAATGCATATATAGTGGTTCATTTAAATTCTTTTTTATAGCTTTGTACGATAGTAATAAGTTATTATCAAATATAAATTTCATTTTTTTAAATTGCTAGTCTTATCATTACTTATAATAAAATATTCGAGAAACTATGTGCATCAATATGTGGCACAGTGTATGCAATGTTTGGATCTATAAATTAGATCTATAATAATTAGATCTATAATCTATATATTAATCTATGATAATCTATTTTATAGATATGCAATTAAAATGTCTCTAAAAAAATTATTTTGACACAATATTTCCAAATGATAAAACTAAAAAAAATAGATTATAAAAAGGCACATATGATAAAAATATAAAAATGTTTATTAAAAAATAGAATGTAATCAATTATTTTGACAAACGGCAAAGTTTTGCCACAAGGGCATGTAACTGTAACAAACTATTGATACCTTCCACTATTCCCATATGTGTTATTCCAATTTCCTGTGTATGAATTAATATTAAAAATATTATTTTAAAATTATATGTGAGAGTAAAATAATTTTAATCTTTTTTAATGCATAAAATAATGTCATATATAATTTACCTTAACAAATATCAACTTCAATTTTTCATCCATAGCATGATTTTTACAAACTTTGAATATGTTACTAACTATATCTTCCGCAGAATATCCCATTTTCCAGAAATGATCCATTACCTAGTAAATATAATTCATAAATGTAATATATATATATATATATATATATATATATATATATATATATATTATATTTATATCTTGATGTATATTAATATTTTCAAATGAATATATTTTACCGTGCATGCTTTAGAAACGTCTCCCTTTATGCAATCATCCAGCATCTCTTTGACGATTAAAGGATGAGGTTCGTCGCAAACTTTAAATACATTTTCACCATTAACATGATTAAATCCATTATATGTAGATTGCAGATTATTCAAGGCTTGTCTCATGTCTCCTTGGGCAGTAAACACTATTGCTTCCATACCATCATCTGTATACGAAAGCTGCAATGTAAAAGTAAATATGTAATATTATAAATACAAAATAAAAATACATAGAATTGTGTGAATCAATTTTAAATCATTTGTCATTATCTATAATATTTTAGTTACTTTTTCTTTTTCGCAGACTTCGAGAACTTTTGCTAAGATTTGGGCATCTGTTAACTTTCCATATCTTAACATAGCACATCGTGATTGTATAGGTTCAATAATCTCTTCTGTGTTATTACATGCAAGAGCAAATCTAGTTGTATGGCTATAAATTTCCATTGTACGACGCAATGCTTGCTGTGCACCATCAGTCATACTATCAGCTTCATCCAAAATAATGATTTTATGCTTCCCTTTAGGAAGATTTACCTGTAATATGCAATTACAATCGCAAAAATATATTATTTAAAGAAATATACATATCTCTTAATATTCTACATATTACCTTCTTTTGTGCAAACATTTTGATTTTATTTCTAACTACATCTATTCCTCTCTCATTTGAAGCATTTAATTCAAGTACAGCTTCTTTAAATGCTGGTCCCAATAAAATACGTGCTAAACACAAAATTGTAGTAGTTTTGCCAACTCCAGGTGGTCCAGCAATAATAATATTCGGAGTATTTCCATGTTGAGCAAAAACAGCTAGTCTAGATACAGTGTCTTCATTGCCAACAATGTCTGAAAATACTTGTGGCCGATATTTTTCGATCCTAGATATCAGTAAATAATGATAGTATTATCTTATATGATCCAAAAGACATAGGATTTTTAATGAACTTTTTAATAAAAATATAATATTATTATAATATATGTTAACAAAATATAATATTATTATAATATTATTATTACATTATAAACAATACTATTTCTTTTTGAAATCTTGCAAAAATAGTCAATATGTTTTATGTATTTCTCAGTAAATAATATCATGAGCATTAATAATGTACATTAATAGCAAGAATATGTGTTACTCGTATATATACAATATTCAAACATACACATATATAAACTAATTACTAATATTTTTCAAGAGTGATAAATTAATATCTAAGGATCTTTTGTATCTCACGTTATTCTTCAAAATATATTTTGTATATTTTGTATAATCATATAAAATCTAGTTAAATATTAAAGATATAACCTAAGTTTTCACATAAATATAAAACAATTATTAGAAATAAAACTTTTTTTGATCATAAGACATACCATGGTAAATTTTGAGATTTACTATCTTTTTCTTTAATTTTCATATCACTATTACTTGTAGATGGCAAAATCTCAATTTCCATAGCTTCATCAACAGTATCATCCCCTGCCATCTTTGAATTTATGCTACGCGCGCAAAAGTGAAAAATGACCGCTCTCTTTTTGAATATAATCATAGAGCAAGAAAAATAATTGAAAGGAAACTAAGCTGAACGACACACTACACAGGTAATAAATCTGATTGGCTATCACAGAGAGAAGACTGAGATAATACAAAAATACATATAAAATTAATATAATTATAAATATAAAATAATTACATTAAATCACATATAGAAATGTAGAATATATTACAAAATTATACATATTAAATACAAATCAATATATTTAACATTTTGTAAGCACAACCACAATATTTATAAATATTTTTTCACATATGCATATATATGTACAGAGACAACTATAATTAATAACATTAAAGTTTCTTTTTTTTTATGCAGGAAAAATAAAATAAGTGAGATTATTATCTAAGTAATCATAACACGATAGAAAAGTAAATCTATGTAGCTGCCTTAAATATTATTTTATGTAATTGATTTATCAATATACAGTCTTTAAAATGTATAGTAAAATGTATAATACTATAGCGGATTTTTTTGTTAGCAAAAATAGATTTTAGCAAAACAAACTTTTATATTGAAATAGCTGTAGCTCTGACAGCAGCGCTCAATAAAGGATTTGGATCTGGTTCTTCTGTCAAGATATTAACTTTGGCCCATTCACGCTGTTTATTACTTTGTCGTAGTGCATCGATAACTGCTTGAACATAGAGACCATCTTCAAATGTAGAAGCAGAAAACACTGGCTCTTTAATCCAACCTCTCTTATCTTCCACAGATTGGAAGGCTTCTCTTAGTGCCGCAATCATTTTTTTAAGTCCTTTGATGTAAGGCCTCGGAATAGAGTCAGCAATCGGCAAGGATATTCCATGTATATCTTCCGTATCATGATATAAGATCTCTTCTTGTCCATTTCGACATCCATATAAATCTCCGCCACGCACAACCAAATGATTGCCACCACCACATATCAACACTTCTTGAGAGAGCTGACCTTGCAAGTGGTTACTTAAAGTAGCTGTTACTAAAGTACCACCACTTAACTCCATTTGGAAACTACAGAAATCTGGCGATGTGATATGCCTGATTCCATTAATGAATTTGGTTGTTTGAGTAAATGTTCTTACAACAGCATGTACTTTTGAAGCTCGTTGACCCATTAAATGAAAGATCAAATCAATAACATGACTGCCCACTAACGCCAAGATTCCTCCACCCATTGTATCATCACATAGCCAATCATATCCTAAAAAGATACAAATATGTCTAACTTAAAGTAATTGTTATATATCAATATATACTTTATAAAAAATATTTTCTGATTCATCAAGCACATACAAAATATGAAATGAATGTTCTAGAGTTGAGATATTTATACTATATTTTAAAATGATATAGAAAAAGATATTTGTTGTAACTATGATTATGCTCCCTTGATTAGATATTTCTAAAGAGAGAAAATACTATTAATTTTTACAAAATTATAATTTAATATTTGTAAATTAGTTCAATTTTAAAATATTTCATTTCTTATTTTCTCTCTTTGATAAAATCTGCATAATTTTAAAATTCATATAATCTATAAATATAGACATAAGAATTTGTATTCTTTTTATATTTACCATTGTGCAATAAACTTCCCATATGTACTCTTACTTCTATAACTGTTACAGGTCCAGCTAAATATCCATCTTCTAATGCTTTTTTCATATGCGCAAAGGCAGGCAAAAACCTTAAACTGTGATTAACTATGCTAATTAGCGAGGGATAATACTGCGCAGCTCGTACCATCTTCAAGGCTTCACTTTGACTCAAGCCTGCTGGTTTGTCGCACACAACGTGCTTCCCTATACCTAGGGCTTTAACAGCAATCTGTGAATGCAAGCTCGGCGAGCACATGATAAAGATTAGATCGACGTCCTTCCTTAAAAGAACATCGTCTATGCGACTTGTGTGAAATGGTATCTCGAGATCGCTCGCCACTTTGGAGACTTCCGCCAATGTGCGACCCCATATAGCTTCAATCCTGAAGCCCTTTTCTCTCAGAAAAGGTATAATGATCCTAACGATACTTCCAGTGCCAAATACTCCGATGCCAGGTAATGTCATTCTGAATGTACGAAAGTGCATATATTTGACGTTTCTTCTCTTTTTCTCTGAAATTTAACCTACAGCACAATACAATTACAGTCTGTTTTTCTCTCTCGACGAGAAATGTCTCGCTGAGATAATCTTCTAATTCTGTTTTCTATATTCAATTACTGTGTTCTTTTCATTTTCGAGACTAAAATCTAATGATTTCATTAGTAAACTGCTATATTTATGACATGTTATGACAGCTGATGAACCACAGATAATGGACGAAGCTACTCGCGCGCATGATTCAATTCACAAATAAACATACTTAAGGGCGCATTTACATCTTGACAGAAAAGCGCAAGCCAATCAGAAGTCGCGTTGGTAGTCACAGTTTCTACACAGTTTGCCTATCTAATATATTGTGTATACACTGCTTATTACCAGCGCGAGTTCTGATTGGCTTTCTGCTTTTCTGCTTCCCGCTTTCAAGGTGTGAATGCGCCCTAAATCTAATACACTAATATGTATTAATGAACACTGCGTTTCTTTAAATGCTCAATTGTTCCTTTTTTTGTAGAATAAAAATATATATTTGTACGCACGTGTTATGTCATATATAATTCTCGTTTATGTAACATTTCATGAATCATTCGTCCTCTCAATAATCTCGTGTTCTCTGTACACATTCTTATCAATCTTGATACATAACGAAGATAAATCAGCAAATATCGCGTAATTCACGTCTGTCATCATCTCTTAACAAGATTATAATTTTTATCGCACGATACACTAGCAAATTCTGCGTCGTCAACGATTAAAGTTCTCTCTAGAGCTTGCATAACAATATACGCACATACAAGTATAATCAATCAATCAATATATAGAGAATGATCGATGACATTGACATAATTTGATACAATTGACCAATTTTTCCACGAATTATGCAAATTTATTTAGACAGACGATCGATCATCGATTGTATTATTCTGAAAAATCGCGAATATACGGAAACAGGGTAATAAATGATATTTGAGATTGTCATTATTTTTATGTGCGTCTAGATATATTCTTATCGGTGACCGACCATTATCATTGATTAACCGAAGCATTCCGAGCGCGGCCGAACGTTGCCGAGCGACCATCCCCGCCCCCGCACTTAATCCGCTGTTCGCCTCACACGAGTGTAGTGTGTGCGTGCTCGCCGCATTCGTTTCCTCGAATATACCTTCGACTCATCAAAATATGTAAATATACGTAGCGGTCGAGCGCTACGAATCGGCGCGAAGCGTTGATCTTTGACTCCTTGCCGTTTATTCGATCCGTCATTGGATTTCGCCACCGCGACAAATTATCGCGTGTCAATACTGACAGGAACGTGTGATATGTCGGAGGTACGCAAAAGAACGGTCGGCGATACGTCGGCAACGGCGACGCGGGATGTTAGCGATGATCAGGTAATAAGCGAGTGCGATTCCCTTCCGATTTCGCGACATCGGGAATGTTGAATCTCTCGACGATTGCTTCGCGTTTACGCGATTCCGCGGTCTATCGATCCGCGCTGTTGACGCGTTAGACGATTATTCGATGATAGGTATTTGACAGCTACCAATACTCTTGTAGAATGTGTCTATACACTTTTGAAGTCGCTTGGTGTGCAGCGCATTGTACATATAGATATATATCCTTATATCGCGTACTATAAATGAGGATGTGTGTACACACATATACATATATACACGCGCGTGCAAAACAAATAGCGCGTCTTCTTTGTCACGCATTTTATTATCCCCACTTTTCTGCTCGGTTTGCAAACATGATGCTTACTCAACACTTTTTAATTAAAAGATATTAAACGCATTCTCTCATCTATTAAGGTTTAATTATGAATATAATGAATATTTCCACACAATATATCCATACACATAGTATGTATTTATATATTTATAATTTAATGCATATTTTTATAATTTAATGCAGTCCTGAATTGTGAAATATAATTTTACTTCTATTATATATTTTATATTTTTTAAATTTAATATTAAAGAAATATAACAAGTATTTTATGATATATCTCAAAAATAACATTTTACTAGTGTAAGTTAGGTGTGTGCATACGTATCTTTAATTTTATATAATAAATAATATTAAATAATATTAATTTATATTAATAATACATATGCATATATTATTTATATATTTTTTTATTTATTTCTTTTATTACATTTTTAGCACTATTGGGTATCTAATTAATTTATTAACATTTATTAACAAAATTTTTTAATGCCATATTTGCATTAATCATTTTTCAAAGCGATATTACTTATAATATATCTTTCACACATATTTTTCCTCAGAAAGAGGATGTTGAATCCGAAGATGATGCAAAATTAGAGGTAGAAGAGTTAGGCAAGTCTTTACCTCAAGGAACTGATCATACTCCACATATTTTAAGTTCTATTCTTTCTGGTCTTCCAGCTCGGTAAAATACATATATTATTTCTCACTTGCAATAAACTATTTCAATTTTATATGAATAAGTCATTCTAATGATTTTGCTTCCTCTTGCAGTTGGCGAAATTGGATAATTAGAACTATTTTCACTTGGTTTATGATAGCTGGATTTTGTCTTATTATTTATGGAGGTCCATTAGCATTGATGATTACAGTAAGTTTTCTTTCACAAATACTTTATAATTAAGTATAATACAACAAATCTTCATATATATTCTTTTTTACTTAATGTCATATTAATTATTATAGACATTGATTGTACAAGTGAAATGCTTTGAAGAAATTATTAATATTGGATATGCTGTATATAGAATTCATGGTTTACCATGGTTCAGATCTTTATCATGGTATTTTTTGATAACTTCCAATTACTTTTTTTATGGAGAAAATTTAATGGACTATTTTGCAGTGGTGATTAATCGAACGGTAAGTATGTGTTATTTTTTAATTTTGAATCATGTAATTTATAAAAAAGACCTCTCTCTCTCTCTCTCTATAAAATTTTGTTAGTATTCACTTGTATTTAAAAATTATTTATAGAACACTATTACATATATTGTGAATATTAATTTAAATCAATAATAAAACCTTGATAAAGTTTTGTAGTGATATTTTTGTTATGGCTTCAACATTTTGTGAGGCTTCTTTGTTAAAGTTACCTAATATAGAGAAATAACAGAATGAAGGAAAGATAATGAGAACAATATTAAAAAATGAATTCATTATATATAATGTAGATAATAATTGTAATTTTTATTGTCTTTAGGGATATCTGCGTGTACTTGTTACATACCATCGATTTATTTCATTCTGTCTTTACATTGTTGGTTTTGTATGGTTTGTACTCTCACTTGTAAAGAAATATTATATGAAGCAATTCTCTCTATTTGCTTGGACACATGTTGCATTACTTATTGTTGTGACACAAAGCTATCTTATTATTCAAAATATATTTGAAGGATTAATATGGTATGTATTTACTTTATCTACCAGAACTGTTACTACAATATATCTTCTTACATATATACATATAGATGTACTTCATCAATTATATCAATTGTCTTTAGGTTCATTGTCCCTGTTAGTATGATTGTGATAAATGATGTCATGGCATACATGTTTGGCTTCTTTTTTGGACGAACGCCATTAATAAAATTATCTCCAAAGAAGACTTGGGAAGGTTTCATTGGTGGAGGTATCTCGACTGTCATACTTGGATTAATGGTAACATGTTTTTCATATAAATAATGAATAAAAATAAACTCAGCTATCATGAGCTAATATGATATTGCTATTTAGATGTCTTACGTCATGTGTCAGTACCGCTATTTCGTCTGTCCTATCGAATACAGTGAAGCTTTAGGAAGAATGACCATGGATTGTGAACCGTCAAGTTTGTTTCAACCACAAGAATATACATTGCCAAAGAGTCTTCAAGTGATATCAAGAATGGTAACATATTTTTATATCGGAAATATTTTAATCATATGTAATGAGTATTCATTTATCTTTCAATATGTAGCTCAATGGAAAGTCCACTTTGACATTATATCCATTTCTTCTGCATTCATTATCAATGTCAGTATTCAGCTCTGTAATTGGGCCATTTGGAGGATTCTTTGCTAGTGGATTTAAACGGGCGTTCAAAATTAAGGTAATTTAATGTTATATTTTATTAAATCTACAAGTATTTATGTATGATATTCTATTTTAATAATGCTTTACAGGATTTTGGTGACGTAATTCCTGGTCATGGTGGAATAATGGATAGATTTGATTGTCAGTATTTAATGGCAACATTTGTGAATGTCTATATTTCTTCATTTATTCATACTGCATCACCTCAGAAATTATTGCAGCAGGTAACAATAAAGTTGTTTTATAGAATTAAGTTTTCTCAATATGAATCTTTTTTCTTTGTATTATATATCAACAAATAAGAAAACTTCATTTTTTTTAAAGCATATGTATTTTCTGATAGGTTTATAGCTTGAAACCAGAGCAACAGCTGCAGCTTTTCCAAACGCTAAAAGATTCATTGGCAAATAGGGGTATGCTAACTAATTAATATTTTGAGTTAAAATATATTAAATGGCAAAAATGCTGCAGGGATTATTTTTATCTATTAGAAAATGTTAGAAAAGATTTTCAGATCTTTTCTAATATTTAAAAAAAACATTATATGCAGTGACAATGCAAACACAGTATCAAATAATTACCATAATTTGTTAAACCATAACAATTAAAGTTTGTTTTGTATAGACTTAAGGATTATATATCACAGTATGATAGACCTGTCTAATTGAAATCAAAGTGACCAGAGATGAGAGATAATATATTTCTTGCTTATCTCATTTTTTATTAAAAATAAAGTTTATACATTTTGATATATTAAAAAAAAAGTCTTCTCTATTACATTTGATCTTCCTTGAACTTTAATATTATTAAGAACCATTTGTTTATAACAGAACATAAGATGCACGAATGTTGAAATAAATTAAAATAGCATAATATGCAAACTTCTGTGATTAACTCTGGTTTAAGAATAATCAGTTGGATAGATCTATCATAATTTTAATTGTATTTTTCGTGCATTCCACAGAAAATCAAATATTTGTCAAATGCAATAGTTTACATTAAACTATTGTTATAGCATTGTTGGAAATATGACTAATATTTTTGTCTAAAAATTGAACCAAAGAAAGTCGCATATTAGAAAAATTCTGTTAAATATACAGTAGCATTTATGCAAAATTTATATCTAATTTTTTAAATCATTTGTTTATTGCTTCTAATTATTACAAGATGTAAATTAAGAACACTATTTTTATGTACTCTGCTTAAATCGAATTTTTTATTTGTAATAAGCAGATCTCAATAATTTATATTTGTATTTGTATTTGCATTTAAAATTTGATATAATAGAATCTCGTTTGTATATATGCATACATTTTTTTAGAATTGACATATAAAAATGCTAACAATTCTTTTTGTTTTGATTAAATGTATACTTTCTAAAATTTTAATGTTTATTGTTATGTGTAAAAGAAAATATCCAACATAACATAATTTGTATGTTGTATGTAGGTACTATTGTTGATGTTATTGAGTAAACGGTTCTACTTAGAAGTTTAGCATTATGCTTTCTTCTTCTTGTATTAGATATAGTATTCATATTTATTTAGAAACAAAAGAATAAAACCTAATTATTGTATCTTAAGTTATTTAAATTTGTTTCACATAATCTATATTGCATATATTACTATTATCAAAATATTAATATGATGCAAGTATCTAAAAAAAGACAGGTAATTGGGTATTACATTCAAAAAGAGACCTCAACATTTTTCTGCTGCAAAAAATATCCGCATATTCCATAAATGTAACATGCCTTGCCAGTCCATAAGAATTGTCGGTATTCATGAATTGTATGGAATGTATATACCTATTTTATTTCGTGATTGTGTAGTACTTATGTACTTTATGTTGTATACATAATGCTAAACTTTGAAATATTGAGTTATGATATTTGTGTATATATATATATATATATATAAATTATCAGAATATATATAGAGAGAAAGATTATATATAAATGATCTTATTCAGACAAAATCAATCTGCGTCTATTAATCACCATTTTCATATAAACTGGGAAATAAAATAAAAAATTAATGGAAATAGATTTTTTGTGTCTGCCATATTTGTATTAATATGATGAACATACAAATCTCTGTGGTGTATTGTATAATTGATAAAATATGGTCAGGCGACTATAATTAAATATTTTGCCTTGTCATGCAATATATGAAAACATACAAAGAGACATTGGTTGAGAAATGGTCTTAAGAATGAATGTTTTTAATAAATGTTAGTTAAAATTATTTTACTGTGCTTCAAAAATTAATTTTAATATTATCTATAATTGTGCCAATCATGTTTAAGAGAAAAAAAGAGATATTCTTACATAATATGCACTTTTAATATGCGAATTGATATGGCACAATTTTAAAGTAGTTTTCTGTGATTAAATTATTATAAGAGTTATGTATATTTTATATTCCTAAAATATGCTCTCTCTTAGATCTCTAAATATAATTCCTTGCTTGAAATAGTGCACATTGAACAAATTAATTCAACAAATTTATAATTTATTTGTAGTGTAATTGAATAATTTTTAATTTTCATTTGCATTTATTTTAACATCTTGTATATTTCAATTTTCATTTTTCTATTATTACTATTAATGACATTGTTATTTCTTTCCTTTGGTTACTATTTCAAGACACATTCTATTGAGATCTAAGTGTAAGAATATGTTTTACAAAATATGTAATTTAGCTTATTAAAAAATGAATTTATATATTTTTCATTTTTAGGCATTTATATATATGACATTTTTATATAATAAGAATTTATATATATATTTAGATCTTAGAGATAATCAGAGAAATAATGACAGATAAATGAATTAAATACATATATATATATACACGTATATTTATTTAATATATAATAGCAAATTTAAATAAAAGAAAAAATATATATACATATACATGTATAGATGGAAGTTATGTAAAAAAATGTGTTACAAAATACATAAAATTTTGGATTTGAAGAGAATTTAAATTTTAATATATATTTATGTAGCAATAAAAAATAAATTCTTGAAAAATTAATGCGTATATATGCCGTTACACGAACGTTTTATTATATATTTAACAGTATTTTATAATTCCGTATTATTTGTATTAGTAAAACTATTTTATTTCTCTATATCTAATATGGGTATGCTCAAATTTTTTTCTCTATATCTATATAGATGCTCAAATTTTCTCTATTTAAAATTTATTAAAACCGAAATTTTTTCTCTTTTTCGTTTTAAACATTTTTTATTAATCTCTGCGCAACTTAGAATGAGAAAGTGTGTATGAAAAATAAAAAATACTATGTATATTTGTGATCATAAAGTAAATATAAAATACAAATAATGAGAAAATAACGCAAGATGCAGTAAAGGGAGTTTTAATTTAGAGGGACACAGCTGTGTTTAATAATAAAGAAACTTGATTTAATAGATTTATATTTTTTGTCCACGATTGTGTGCACATATTAATTTTTATTGTTGTATATTACAATAATCAATCTCCCATTTACATATTATTTCCGAAAAACTGAACAGCCGATTTTCGTTAAGGGCATAATGATTTATGCAGACAGAAATCGATTAATTTACTCCTTTTTCGTGAGAGTGAAAGGTTAAGGTTGGCCATCGCATTATTTTCTTTTTATTTGATCCGATGTGTCTAAGTATGTGATGGCTAAGCGTACCGGGATACATTGAAGATATATCTTTAAAGACAATAGATATTATATAAATAATAATATAAAAATGTATAAGATAAATATGAAAATCAAAATTTAATTGTGCTCCGGAATTTAATATAGATACTCGGTACATTTATGTTGCTTTTGATTTGACTGATTGACAGTTATATAGGTTATGTTAGAATTTGTTTTAAATATTTGTGTGTTATATTCTGGTAAATATTTACAATGGTGTCAACACGAGGACCAAAATTTAAATTTTGTGATGGAGAAAAAGTGTTATGTTATGAACCAGATCCCACAAAGGCAAAAGTGTTATATGACTCGAAGGTAATATATAGTTAAATATATAGTCGCAAATACAATAAAAACAAATAATGTTATAAATTTTCAGGTACTTGACGTTATTGTAAATAAAGATCAAAGAGGAAGAAAAGCTGTGGAATATCTCATACATTTTCAAGTGAGTTATAAAAAATTTAATTATTTAAAATTTAATAAATGTCACAAAATGTCCTGTGTTTAGTACAGGAATTAAATTAGAATAAATTAGATAAATAGAATATTAAAAATATATATATATATTATTATTATTACTATTATTATTATAATTATATGTAAGGGTTGGAATTCATCTTGGGACCGTTGTGTGACAGAAGAATATGTGCTTAAAGATACAGAAGAAAATCGCCAACTTCAACGAGATTTAGCACAAAAAGCACAACTTCAACTGTATGTATTTTTAAAGTTGATCTAATATTATATGTAATTAAGAAAATAAAATTAGTTATCTGTTTCAATAAAAGTGGTGCTTATTTATATCGCCGTGAACGCAAGAAAAGAAGTCATAAAATGTCAGAACGTTTAGCTGAAGCAGAACACCAAGAATCTCGTCGTAGAGCAAGGAGTGGTGGCAGCCGAGCTACATCAGCCACTACTGGATCTTCAGAAGATGGTAGTTCAGGTCAGCATGCTGATTATGATACAGAGGTAAATATTTTATTTTTAAATTATGAAGATTCAAATATACAAAAATTATGTATTCTAAATAAATAATAAAAATATATACAGAGTATCTTTAATGCTTTAAAAAAATGATTCATATTAAACAAGTTGGATGATATATAGTCTGTCTTATATTCTTCAACAATGAATAAGGCAAAATTTATACACACACACAAATATATATATATATGCAATTACAGGAAGTAAACACAGAAGAAGACACAGAGAGTAGCTCTGATTATATGGGTGAAACGAGTGATGATGAAGATAGTGGTGGAGGTAGCCAATCTGGAGCCAGTATTAAACCAGGAATTGATATTGACATAGGTAGTACTTTAAAACGAAATTTAGAACAGGATTGTGACCTAATAACAAATAAAAATAAGGTATTTTTTATTGAATAGTTTTTGAACAATGTATAATTATAATATACTTTATATACAACCATATATGTGTTTGTATATATGCATACACACATTTATCATTATTTATCATTATTTATTATATATATATATATATATATATATATATATATATATACATACACACATACATCATTTGTTTAGATTTTATTTAATCTTTATTTTTACTTGAAAATTTAGAGAAAAATTTATTTGTTATTAACATTTTGATTTATATATAAATAACTAAAGTCTTTTCACACAAAACATAAATTTATTAATATTTATTTTAGCTTGTAGTTCTTCCTGCACAACCTACTGTGATAAATATTTTGGAATCTTGGGTGCAACATTTTACTACAACTCAATTGACAAATATTCCAGAAAAACCTCAACGGAATAAAGCAAATAATACAATAGAAAAAACAGTGAACGAAATAAATATATGCCGAGAAACTGCAGATGGTTTGCGCATATATTTTGATGTCACAATACCTCATCTTCTTTTATATAAACAAGAAAAGGAGCAATATTGTTTTCTGAAATCCTCTTTATGTAACGAGCAAACAAATATTACAAAAGAGGAACCAATTGAGTAAATATGCATTGTGTTTTTTTTTATATTCAAATTAAAATTTTAATTAATATTTAATTTAGATTTCATATTAAGAATATAAGAATTAAATTGGAAGATTTTTGTTTGAATTAATAAGATATTAACTATAAGGAATCTGGACACATCAAGGGAGGAATTTGAAGATGCAGAATATGCTCATTTACCACCCTTTCAAGAACATGATTCAGAAATGGACAATGCATCTAAACCATCAAATAATTCTAAGCGTAGGTTACGATCGTGTCGTGTAAGTTCAGTCGACGAAAGCCGGCAATTAAGATCGTATGACGAAGGAAAGCAAGATGGCGGTAATTTATCGAGGTAAGTGTTATTTTAATTTTAATAATATTTTAATTACATTTAAATTAGGCTAATTATCTTTACATAGCTCCTTTTTTATGAATATTACTTTTATTAAAACTAAGTTATGCTCACATAATATAATGGCAACGATTTTGAGTTCTTCCTTTTTTATATTAGATAATATGTTTATGATTGTTTTTGTTTTAGTAGCATAGCAAGTACAAGTTCCCGTTGTTCTAGCCCACGAGGTGTAACACTAAGATTGCCGCCTGTTGTTACATCTGCTCAAGTAAATGCTTTACTTCAGCAATCAAATAAATGGAGATTAATGCCTCAAGTTTTAAAGCAAGGTGAAAATTCAACATATCCGTCTACTTATTATGGTGCCATTCATTTAACTAGATTATTTGGTAAGTTATAATTTCATGAGAATATATATATATATACATATATATATATATATATATATATATATATATATATTCTCATATAAAACATACATGGCATATGCAAAGTTATAAAATCTTGCGTATTTAAAAAATAATTTCATCATTTTCTTTAATTTTAGTTAAATTACCCGAGTTATTACAATCTACAGATATGTCGAGCAAAAAATTAAAAGTACTCATAAAATATTTGGATATGTTTCTAAGGTATATCATAAAATATAATTAGATATGATTCTTTATATAAAACAATGATCAATATAATGACAAATCTTATATAACATCAAAAAATAATAATATATATTGTATATTTAGCTATCTGGAGATGCATAGGGAATGGTTTGGTGAACAATTTTATATGCAAGCCGAAAATCGAGCAGTACCACAAATGAATAATGTTTAATAATATACAGTATATGTAACAATATATTACTTTCCTTAATCTAAAATGTGATTATATACACATTAAACATACACATAAATGTATTTTTGTCTAACTCATAGATTATTTAAATGTATTTTTGTGTGAGAATCAATATTATAAATAATATGAAATATCATAAAATATTAATATCAGAATATTAATTTTTTATTGATATTTTTTATACATAAACTTTTGGTTATTATATATAAAAATTTATATATAATTTACTATACTTATATTTATTAACACAAAATTTGTCAACATTAAATCAATTATCAAATTTTATGTAAAATGTCGAAATTTTATAAATAAGATATGAATTAAATATAAAATAAAATTTTTTAAATGCTTGATATCTAATATAAATATATGGATCTCTATAATTATATCTTTTATATTAAAGACAACTGAGAAATTGTCTTATATATATATTTGTAGCATAAAAATAAGATTTAATAATATCTTCTTATTAGAATAATATATTTGTGTGGCAACACAAATACATTATACAAGTGAACTATAGAATATTTTGGAAGAGCAATTAAAAATGGTATAAAATTTATGTTTTATGTAGATTTATTTTTTCTTGTGCATAATGAAAGTAATTAGTTATCTTATATTATCAATGTAAAAAGATTTGGGGGAAATTCTGCGCATGCGCTAGCGATAGCTAATCTCAGTAACATATATTTCACTGTAATAAAGGCATTGTCATATCCTTCATAAACAAGAAATAGAAAATGTTAAAAGAGAGAAATAATATGTAAATTTTTATCAAAATAATAAAGTTTATTAATTTATTATATTTACAACCAAGATTTATTAGTATTAACAAAGAAAAATACACAATTTGTATCTCTTAATGTCCTATATTGCAACTGATCTGCCAATGTTAGTCACGTGACAACGTAAAAACAGAGAACAGTGTGTATGTATCCAACCGGTAAGGACCTGTCCTTCGAACTTTTTACTTTGCTGGACGAATTGTTGCCTGTAAACATCTGACTTGCAACAAAAGCTTCGTCTGGTAAGTATAATCGAACGGATTAGTGATTTCCGGTGCGTTTATACATTCAATGGTGAAATTTATTTGCAATACCAATAAGTTTTTTTTTTGCATAATTACACGATTTAACTGCTTACGTTTGCAAGAAAGAGTCGTGTCATCGAGCGTACATCAATCTTTATACGGACGCATCAGACATCATTAATACATCTGACTGTACGTAGCATATAAATTACATATCTCGCTTTGCTTTGTATATATACAGTGACGCACGACGGAGATGGGTTTGCAAGATGCTCTGTATACAGCAGCTACTGCACCATTTAATCTAATTTATAAAACGAGTGTGGGAACTGCCTCATACGCTTTGGGTGCGGCTTCTTCGGTAAGCTGTTTGATATCTTGATTTTTAGTATCCTTGTAACATTGAAGAAATCTTGCACTAATCTCGTCCATTAGACTCATCTCGCATGGCATCAGACGATTGATTTTCTTTTTTATAACTGTGATATATACAGACAGAGACAGAAATGAATTGCTACCTGAATTTACATACTTTATTTTAATAATATTATATATTTTTTAGTTTAAAATAAAATGTGCAAATTTAGATAGGAAGGCATTTCTTATATATGAAGTAAGTATATTCGGACATTTCATAGCATACGTAAGAAAAAAAAGAAAAATTTACAAGAAAAAACAGGTTTGTTTTTTATTCCTGAACTTTTTCCACTAATGTACACTAAAAATCAGATATCTATCAGATATTAATCTATAAAAGTTGGAAAAAAGGGAGGAGAAACAAAAAGTGTAACCAGTTCAAGAATAAAAAAAAACAAACCTATAGATTGAAAAAAATTGAAAAACAGACTTATTGTATGTGTGTTAATTGTGTACATGTTATATATGTCAATATAAAAAATATCAATTAAATTAAAATTTGCTCATTTTTTGTATGCTAACATGTTACAATTTGCTGTAAATATAGTAAGTTTAAGATCAATTGTACTGACAATTTTGTTACTTCGATGTAATTAATTTCCACAGTCTTTCTGTTAATTTTTGATATTTAATAAAAGAGTATGTATGTATTTTATTCAATGTCATGTTTTATTATTTTTCTTTAAAATAGGTTTTTTTGAATGTTAACAGAATGAAAATATACACTATTTGTGTCTATGTAATAAATTTTTTTTATCAATATAAGAAGATTACATATAATCTTTTATGTGCGTGTGTGTTGTATTTTTATTCCCTTTGAAAAAAACTAATAATTAATTACAATTTCCTTTACAGGCAACTAATTTGTTAAAACCCAAAGCAGAAACAATGCCTCCACCTATACCCTTATATAAATTAGCTGCTGCCAGTGGTCCTTATGTAAGACTCGCAGCGATAAGTGGTGCAACTGCAGTTATCCTTGGCGCTGTTGGGTCCCACAGTAAGTGAATTACTCAATAAGCGTTTATATTATTTCAAATTTTTGAATATAAGCTTTAAATGAATCTATTTTTGCATTGTAGGGTATTATTCTAAGGATGAGGTAGGGAAGGAGCAACGTCGCATCTTCGAAACTGCAAATCGATATCATTTTATACATACATTAGCTTTGTTGGGATTACCATTATGTAAAGTCCCTGCAGTGGTGAATATCATCATTATATTTATCTACAATTATATGATATAAGAAGAATTATATTAATATATAATTATTTCATGTACATGTTTTCAGGCTGCCACATTTCTAGTTTCTGGGATCTTACTCTTCTGTGGTAGCTGTTATTACACTGCATTCACTGGTGATAGAAGATTTAGTACAACAACTCCAATCGGGGGATTCTGTTTTATATTAGCATGGTTCAGTATGTTTCTTTAAGTATTGAAAGGGAATAAATTTTCATAAAAGAATAAATAAAACAAAAATCCAAAAACAATATGTTGCATAAGAATTAATACAATATTTTTTCTAACATTAAAAATATATAATAGAATTAAAACTTATAAAAAAAGAAAAAAATTATAAGAATTACATAATTTTTCACAATGTAAGTACGTTGGTATTAGGCATGTTTAAGCCAATAATTATGTTTTATCTTCAAAAAAATGTGTAAAAGTAAAAACAACAATTTCCTGTTATCTTGATCTTTTTTTACCTTAAACAAAAATGTTTCTTTTGAAATTCTCTTTGTTTCATATATCTTATTCTTATGTATTTTAGAAAATACATTCCTTGAGCAATTTATTATTTTATAAAATGTTTTACAAAAAAAATTTAATTTATATAAAGTAAAATTCGTTTATACTACTAAATACATTTAATTTGATTGAATTTTAATGACAAAAGTTTGTGTACCTGTCCTAAATTGTTACACATTTTATATAAGGATATATAACAAATTTTGTTCTATCGATGAATCAGTTTTTTTATTTCTTAAAATATCGCGTAATTGTCTTTTGTCAAAAAAAATTAAATTTAGAAAATAATTGTGCAAGTATATCATTCACGCTTGAAAACGTAAAAATGTCAAATCGTTGAATCAGTGTGGTATATTTTTTAAAAAATGCAGATGTTACGTTTTGGTTTATTAATAACAACAGAAAGTAAATGTAACTTTTGTTTTTCGCCAAATATTCCTAAGCGAGTCGATAGTTTTGGAAAATACAACAAAATCGAAAAAACGCCCGCTGTCGTGTGTGCACGAGATCATATACATTATGAAAATTCGCAATATAAATTTAAAACAAACGGTTTAGATAGATGGTTTCACACACTCTTTCTTTTTTTCTCATTCAGTTTTTATATAGATTGCGCGTTTTTATAATGATATAAAAAATTAATGTACCTTGTATTATCCATTTGATACACCAACTTCACTCTTTTTATATCTGTTCTATTTTGTATGATACAGTTCTCTTACATTTTCTTTTTTTCATAAATATGACGATTTGCCTGTAAGTAAATGGATATCCGAATTTCCCTTCGTTCATACATGTCACGACGGCGATTCTGGCGATTCTGGTTGCACTCTCTTATACAGCTAAATAAAGTAATAATTGGACTAAATTTATATCTAGAAAAAAATATCAAATAATATTAATAGATGTTATACATCGATTAAACTTAAATATAGGAGTGTTGCGCAATATGATAATTCGCGCATTGCATTTTCGGTCGTTGGAACTTAAGCGAACACGAAGAGATCGATTACAAAACAGAGATAGCAGTCACTGTGTATGTGTATCCGGAATATTAGCGTTGCTTTCAACATAAGACACGCGGTTGCACGCCCCCATCGTGGACGTGCGTGTTTATTTACTGATTTTAGCTCGTGAATTTTCCGCGATCGCGGGGTATTGGCGATGTATGGCGATGCTTTTAAATGCATCACTGATATAAAATTTACTTATGTCTAGTAAACGTTCTTCCTCCTCGCCTCTCTCTCTCTCTCTCTCTCTTTCTCTCTCTCTTCTGTCTTTCTCGGACTATATTATATTTAGTTAGTATGTGTTTCATAGCAATATTATTTCTTGTTACTATTATATAAAGTATTTATATCGACTTGTGTGTATATTAAACTATATTTACAATCTTTTTCTTTTTTTTTATTGTAACACATTGAAGATAAGTTTTTTCCCCTAAAACGAGGTCGCTCGCAAGCCACTCGATTCCTAATAAACCGCGAAAGAATAAACTAACGCGGTTTAATTAATAATTATGCAGCTTTGCACTTTTCTTCCTGGTCAAAGTATATCACAATACAAATATCGGTAGGTAAAGATATATAAACACCAAAAAAAGAATTATTCCAATGTATAGTACTTTACGAGAAATGAAAAAAAGAATACCTTCACAAGAGAATATAAAGAGTAAAATTGTTGCTCATTGAATATGCGCGTAATTTCACATAGATCTTAAATACAGTTCGGATAATTCTCTCGGTCTGAATAATGTAAAAGTAATACAAGAGAAAATATGTAATAAAAGAGAAAAAAATGACGCGCCAATTTCCTCCAATCCGTTTCTAGGAAAGATGGAACGAGTGTTGACCCTCTTGCGCAGCTATCCGCAACTTTTCCCGCATTATTTCCAAGGTAGTATAATCAGGCAGTTTTAGGTAGTTGACGCAAGTCATTACTGATGGTAGAAAATCATCGGTCTTCATAGATGGATCAAAAGTCTTGCGTACTATTGTTAACGGAGGTGTTAAGCTCTTGAAACCTGTAAAGAAATAAGCCGCATAAATTTCATTGTGTAACTTCTCAATATATAAAAGATGTCAAAGTGTATCCACCTCCAACGGGCAAGCGTGGCGAGCCAGTAACGAACTGAATGAACTGTCGCTGCTCCTCACTATTGTATTTGGACATAACTTCGAACAGAAAACGGATGGCGCGCGAATCAGGTGTGTAGCCATGATCAGTTCTACAGCACTCTGCAAGAATTTTCACGTCCCATTGTCCACCCGTTTGTGCGTGCCCACAAAATACCGCCTCTAACTCCTCCGGGAAGAATAATCTCAATTGCGAAGGAGGAAATACCGATTCGAAACCTTCCCGGAATGCTTCCATTTGTCTAAATACTCCTTCGTATAAGAACCAATGTACTACCAACTAAAATTTTATAAAAATTGCATGAATAATGTAATATCTTTGAAATGATACCAACAAAGAAGTCAATGCACCATTACATTACCTTAATATATTGATCCAAATTATGAATAGTAACAGATATTTCACTGCCACCTTTTCTTAATTCAATGTTTTCATAACCCGGTAGTTCGAACACGAGGCCCAAATCGGAAATTGGACACGAGTCTAAATCGAGAGTCTCGATTAATTGCACTTTTTCGTGCGGCCGTAATGTTTGATCCTTTTCCATAACGTCTTTCCTCCTCACAACTTCTTGAAGTTTACTGAGAGTACGATACACGTCGGGACACACATATGCTAAATCTGCTAATGTGAGCGTATGCTCTTCTCCCAACAACCAGCGATAGAAAGTTAAACTAAATGGCAAGTCCAACTAAAATGGAGAAAAAATTAAATGCAATACAAATACACGAGAAAACTCATTGCAAAAAACTTCGCAGATAAATAACGATTTTTACCATTCTAGAATCATATATCGCCTTCGCCATAAATTTTCCAAGGAATTTAAATTTGGTTTTCAATTTTGCTAAATGAGATACTTTAGTATTCCATGGGATCGGCGTTGGGAAGAGCCCGTGTGCAGAATTAACGTATCCGTTTTCGGAAGGATTAGAACTGCCATGCCATAGATCTAAATCGGCGCGTTGCAGTTCCTTAGAGACTAGAGCATAAAATTCCAAAGTTGGACCAAGGCCGGTACCAACCTATACACAACATGCAAATACCAAATTAGAAATATGTAATAGATTTGATGGAAGCATATGTATATACATAAAAATAACCAACCTCATTGACATATTGCACTTCAAGTAGAGCTTTGTTAGAAGCTAAATCTTGAATTACTTGCTCAGCTTGTTTAAGAATGTCTGTTCTCGAAATAGTTCTCTTCCTCCGTTCTAAACGTGGCGTAACACGCTCTTGACTATCCGAACCAGATAATTCCGGCGCGGAATCTAAGAGACGTTGCAGAGCTCTGTCTCGGTCGAATGATGTTGCGTATAATAATAGCTGCCTTGTCTCAAACGGAAAGAGGAAAGGACTGAAATTAAATCATTCAAGAATTATAAATAAATTCTGAATTATGAACAACGAAATGGATTTTAAAAAAATTGATCTACCATTGTACTAACCAGACAGTCGCGATCTGTTGTAACCAAGATGGTAAATTTCCAGTCATGATCACCAGTGGATCTTGCAACTGTCTACTTGCTTTTGCAGCAATTTTATTGTTGATGAAATCCTGGGGCGACAATAAACTCATGCTCTTCAAATGAGGAAATAGTATACCCCAGTGACGATTGAGAGCATGTAAAAGCCGCAGGAGACACAATCCATCGAGAGAAGCATCCGTGATGGTTACAGTAGGAGAGGGTAATATGGGAGATAGATATGGCGCAAGGGGACAATGCTGTGGCGGAACAGTGCCTTCTAGCCAAAGACTGTCTTCTTTTCTCTTTGAACTAATCTTTGTACTTTTTCCCTTGCCCTTTCTACTATTACCCTGTGAACTCGATCCTGATTTCGGAGAAGTTGTGGCATCCTCTTCCGGTACAGGTCTGTTTATTTAAAATATATAAAGTAAAGAAATATATGTATAATTTTTTTCTCCATTTTGCTTTATCTAAAATTTTTATAAGCATTTAGATAAAGCAAAATGGAGAAAAATTACATGGCACTTCAGTTCTTAGAATAAAAGCATTGGTATAACATTGCAAAAAGAATCGCGATCGTCTATTTCAGAATATTTAAAATACCTGTAGTATATCGTGTGGGTTTGAACCCATACTGCATCGTGTCCTAATGGCGGTTCACTATCGGCCTCTGCCTCGGAATGATCCACTCCGGAACATCCGAATTGCCTGACCGCTTGATAAACCGTCATATTGAAGGGTAAAACTATATCACCAATTAAAAACTGAAGTTTATGTTTAGGCGGTCCCTGACTTATAACAACTGCCGCCTTGAAAAAAAAACAAAAGATAACCATAAATATTTTGTTAATTATTGTCGATTTGTTTGTAATTTAAAAGTCATGAAAAAAATATATACCAAAGTATCGTCAATGTCGTCCTCGCTGTTATCATCGTCACTGACCATTGAGTCAGCATCGCGAATTCTACCATATCCACGTACCATTAAATAGCGTTCGATTGCCTGTACTAGTGCAAGCGGATCTATTTTTACAGTACCTCCCTTCCACTGTTTTAAATTATTACAATCTGGATGCCGTTGAAGATTACACTGCACAAGTCAAAAATATTTGTGTTCATATTGTGACATTCAAACAATGAATCTATT